GAAGGAAGGAAGGAAGGAAGGAAGGAAGGAAGGAAGGAAGGAAGGAAGGAAGGAAGGAAGGAAGGAAGGAAGGAAGGAAGGAAGGAACAAATGATAGCTTAGCACAATGTGTAAACCCAACTTCTATGTCACATAAGCATGGGAGAGAGGGAAATGGTGGGATGTTTATGCAAAAGAAAAAAATATTGAGGTGTAAAGGGCTTTGTAGGGTGCCCCGAATCCCAAGGATGTTTCACCTACACTGAAATTCTTGCATGCACTCTCTTATTGCAACACTAAAACCCAGACCAAGGAACCCTACCCTTATTCAAACATGTCAAAGTTCCCTACACTTGTTCTCTCACCTCACCTCCTCTCCTTTACCACTAACTCCTTTTACGGTCATTGAGGATGAGAGAAACCATTTCCAGCAAAATTCATAAATGCAAAATTCATACAAAACCTAAATAGAAGAGCAGCTTATCTTTCAATATAAATATTCATGGACAGTGCTGCTGCAAATCCTGGGTCCTCCAGAAAGCAAAGCAAAGCAGACTTGAAGCAAAAAAGAGAGAGTAAAAAGTTCATTTAAGTTTCATGATTTTGCAGTCTGGGAAAAACTAATCATAACTGAATCAGGATAAGTCTGCCAAGAGAGTGCTCCTCTAGAATTGGACATTTACCAAAGAGCCATCAGCAAATTTAAACAAAGAAATAAATCACATAAAGGAGCCATGCAAATCCAAGATACGCAGAAGTTCTTAGATGTCACCCTGTCCCCATTCTGTAACTATCACTTTAAAAAGTCTTGTCGACCCATTCAGGTTGCAGTCTTTGCCTTCTGGCCCAAAACAGGCTACTATGTGGCAAGGCCAGACCAGTGAGGGAAAGCTCACATTGTTCATGATTACTCTTAAGGTGTGCCTTCATTCTTTCAAGCCATATGGGAGAAGAAAACCAAAAGAAGTCCTCAATATATAGAAGTACAGGTAGTCACAATTGGGACTGGAACTTCTGTTGCTAAGCGATGTGGTTGTTAAGTAAGTCGCACCTGATTTTACAACGTTTTTTGCTGCGGTCGTTAAGCAAATCTGGCTTCCCCATTGACTTTGGGGAAGGTCGCAAATGGTGATCACATGACCCCGGGACGCTGCAACTGCCATAAATACATGCCAGTTGCCAAGTTCCCAAATTTTGATCATGTGACCATGGGGACCTGAGACGGTTGTAAGTGTGACGACCAGTTGTAAGTCACTTTTTTCAGCATCATTGTAACTTCGAACAGTCGTTAAACAAATGGTCATAAGTCAAGGGCTACCTGTACTAAATTGCCTTATCTATTATCTCCAACCTTCTCCCTCTCCACACACATACAGATCCTTTTCTCTTTCCAGTCTTGGCTGTCTTCTATGGGTTGCATTATTTATCAGAAGTATGTAATGCAAATCTAAAAGTAATGTGGAACATGGATGCATACAATTTTGCTATACATATATACAAATACCTTACAACATAGGAGTACATTAGAGGTAGGTATCAAATTCAATCAAATCGTGAAAAAATCAGGGTGTTTAGGGGTGATTTGGTGAACATGGATTGGAAACAACTGACTTGGCAAGTCACACTGGAGGACATGGAGTAAAGGGAAATATGGAGCCAGGAACTAAAGACCAATAATGCCACCATGGATCACCACCCCCATTGATAAGCAACTGACAGTGACCAACCAGTCATTTTGCCAGGTGCAATCAGGTTGACTTCATCTATATAATATTCCCAGATTATAATTAGCTGTTATGCATCTTTCTGAGCAGGAGAATATGGAGATGGATAGGGAACAGTGGATTCCTCTCTCTTCCCACTCCACACTCAAATTTGATGACATTCCTGTATTTGACCTTCTCTAAGTTGGCCATGTTCTGGCCAAAGGGCAGGTCAACAAAATGTGACTCTCTCAGAAGAACTGTGCACCCGAACAGCAGAAAGAATTAGGCTTTTTTTCAACTACCCCAAAACTATTCCTCTTGCAGATAAACCCCTGTATTTACCATATCTGAGATCTGGAAAGCTTGCTCTTCTGCCAATCTCCCACAATATGACAAGGAACAAAATGGAATAGGTAGCTTCGTTTTAAAGCATTTACAGGAGACTACCACCAAATTCCTTGCACACTCTTCTGTGAAACCTGAGAAGCTACGCTTCCTACCCAACACCGCCTACTCAGCTCCAAAAGTCCTATGTCTAATTGACCCATGCCCAATCGTATTGTTTTCCATCTTACCAAATCAGAGACAATCCTGTAAGCAGGAAAATATATTCATAGAGGGAAGCCTTTTCCAAAAATGGGACTTTTTGACCAATCAGAAAAATGATGCAATACGTTTCCCTTTGGCACAGATGTCATGATGCTTTACAACAGGGTTCCTCAACCTTGGTGACTTGAAGATGTGTGGACTTCAACTCCCAGAAATCCCCAGCCAGCATGGCTGGCTGGGGAATTGGAGAGCGGGTTCGGAGGGAAAGCGCG